TTTTGTTAAGAAAGGTGAAATGGGGAAAAAACCTGGGCGTAGATTAATATTTGGGTAATTTTCTATGGCGGCACTCTCCAGAATTTTCCTTCTGAGTGAGTTATTTTCTTTTTTTATGAGTGTAGCATTTTTAAAATCAAAATTATGATTGAATTTATTTCTATGTATGACTAGTGCATTAGCTAAGTTGTTTTTTGTGAGGTGTCTTTTGTGCTCATAAATGCTTTTTTCAAAGTTCTACTTGTTTCTCCAATATATTGGGATGAACAGTTTTGGCAATTTATTTTATAAATGCCTGCTTCAGAAATATTAGTGCTATTAAAGTTTGAAGATCTTAGTATATCTATAATGATTTTGGAAGTGTTTGTGACAATTTCAAGATTATTTATATTATATTTATATTCAAGATTATACATATATAAATATGTATGTATATATCTATATATATAGATACAGATATCTATGTTTAAATATATATATATGGATATCTATATCTATATACATCTGTATACATAAATATATATAGAGATGTATATATATATATAGAGAGAGAGAGACAGAGACAGAGAGAGATAGAGGAGAGAGAGATAGAGACATGTTACGACATTTAAATATTCAATTCGTCAATCACAATCTCCTCTCACTTTACATATCTATATCTATATCTATCTATCTATCTATCTATCTATCTATATATATATATATATATATATATATATATATATATATATATATATATATCCCTTGGAATAATTTTATAATATATATATATAGATATATATATATATATATATGTGTGTGTGTGTGTGTGTGTGTGTGTGTGTGTTTATATATATATATATATATATATATATATATATATATATATATATGTATATATATATCCCTTGGAATAATTTTATAATATATATAGATACATATATATATATATATATATATATATATATATATATATGTGTGTGTGTGTGTGTGTGTGTGTGTGTGTGTGTGTGTGTGTGTGCGTGTGTACTTAAATACGTATATACAGACAAATAAAAGACGGATTAAAAAATAGAAAACTCCATTAAATATATAAATATATATGTATATAGATATATTTGGTTGGATTGATGTGAGTTTGTGACCCTGGGATTCACGCTTTTGCGATCGTCAGACAAACTGATTTTTTAAAATTTTGGGTTTATGTAGATTGCGTGTATTGGTGTTATTAAGGGAGTGGGGGGAAATCGTCGTCGTGATGTCATCGTGCTAACACAAACATAGATGCATGTCCGTACATCCGATGTGGTACGCAGACACACATACACACTTGGTCGTCCGTCGGGACTCATACATATATAAACATATGAGGTCAGTTTGAGATTTGACATATGTATGTATATGGGTGGCGTTGTGTCTATACATACGCATTTGTATGTTGAAATTCAAAGGTTGGAAGTGTAGCGAAAATTTCTCGTGAATGTCTCGTGAATTAATCATTTTTTCTGATGATCGCAAAAGCGTGAAAACCAGGGTCACAAAATCACATCAATCCAACCAAATATATCTACATACATACATATTTATATATTTAATGGATGCCGTTTTCTGTTTTTTAATCCGCATATAATATATAAATAATTATATATATATATATATATATATATATATATATATATTTATGCACACACTTTTCACATGTATATATATATATATATATATATATATAAATAAATATATATATATATATATATATATATATATATATGTATATATATATATATATACATCTATATACATAAATATATATCGAGAGGTATATTTAGCACAACCTTTTAACTGTTGGACAACATTAACTTATTTTTAGCACAACCTTTTAACTGTTGGACAACATTGAATTGGAATATTGAATGTTGAGACTTCTTCGTTTTGCTAAAATATTTTGAAGTCTAATGTATTAGTCTTTTTCCTAAAACTGATTAAAACCATTTCGGACTATTTGGGCCAAACATTTAAATGGGTTCTATTCTCTGATGATTATGAATTCCAATGAAAAGTTTTACCCTTTAGATAAAAAAGTTTAGCCGATTAATTCGGGTCAGACCAAAAAAAGAACATTACCTGTCTATCTATCTAGCTGACTTTTTACTCCATTCCTCTGTCTATTTATCTCCTTCTCTCTCTCTCTCTCTCTCTCTCTATCTATCAATATATCTATACCCCCCCCACAGACACAGACACAGACACACACACACACACACACACACACACACACACACATACATACATATATATATATATAATGTTTGTCGATTTCTATTTAGAAATGCTGCATTCAAACCTAATGTCTTCTTGTTTGGCTAGATATAGTTGATTTCCCAGTGGTTTAAAGAAATCCCATATCTGGTCTTTCAAGACTTTTGTATTTCCCTGTCAATGTTCTTTCCCAAAGCACCTATTTGTTTTCTTCACATTGATATTTGCGAATACCAGGTCAATCTGGCAAAAGGCCAAAAGATCAAACTGTATTAATGAGGGCCGTTTCGTCCAGTGGTTAGAGGTTCGAATTTCGCCTTGTTCGCTATTTCGAGTTTTTAAGGTGGTAATTTATTGAAAATATCGGATTGGGACGGCGGTCCCAGTCTGCGGTCCCGTTTAGAAAGGCATTGAAATCTCACTAAGAGTGGTTAACCTGTGACTTTTCAGTGAGAAAGGGACAGTTGGGAACACGTTGGTGGTTGCATTAGCATGAAGTCGCAACTCGTTGATAGTAGGACATACTAAACTGTTAACTATTGCTCGGCGATCGAACGTTACTCAGATTAAAAAAAGGCTAAGCAAGGTTAGTCTATATTTCTGAGATGAGGTATTATGTACAGTATTTACATTAGTCGGACTATTGTCCTCATCTTTGTCGCCATATTTGTCACAACGTTTCGGCCGTTGTACGCTCCAGCCTTCCAACCACCTGAAGAAGGCCGGAGCGTACAACGAAACGTTGTGACAAATATGGCGACAAAGATGAGGACAATATTCCGACTAATATAAATACTAAGCAAGGTTATATTTACAAATTCTTCATTTATGTATATGTTAGCTGTTTGGTTCTGTTTAGTGGCATATCAACATCTCTATGGGTTATTTAATGCCGACATCTAAATTTATGGAACACTATTAAACTAAGTATATTTTTTAACGCAATTTTATGACTTCAGCTATAGATAAAATTGATTGTTGGACATTTTGCTATAAAATGTATTGTTGGTAATTTTACTATAAATATGTAATTTTGGTATTTTTCTTTATATAAAATATTTTGACGGTATCTTTACAATAAAAATATTTTTATACTTTCCTAATTTTGTATTTTTGTTTGGATGTTCACTATTTTCATGGATTTATTTAACAGTAGAATTCATTTAATTCATTAAGATCATTTTTTATTATTTTTATAAATTTTTATTATAATACATTCATTATCATATTTATTTTTTAAATAAGCAACAGTAATAGATGTTTTGCAGGTAAAGTGGTAACGTAACGACTGCTGGATTTAGAAACACAACCAGCTGGATATTATTATATATATATTTGTCTAATCCATACAATACTTTCTGTACACATGTATGTATGTATGCACATAGGTATATACGTTCAGTTTCAGATATAACTAAAATATATCTGCTAGATGTTACAAACCTGAATCAGGGTGGATCTGGGAACATTAGATTATTTTAAAAATATATCCGTTTCTGAAAGAAATACTCCTTTGTAACATACATGATTATAAAAATGATAAAACAATTAAACGGTTAAATTTAAAGCCTTATATTTAAAATATATGATACATAAATTAACCCTAAAACAAAATAATATAAAGTTAATAATTACATTTTAATAAAACAACACAACAGCAAGATTCACAGACTTTCGTTTATAATACAATAAATTATATCACTTAGTGTCCTCCATAATTTAGCCCAACTCGTCCGCTAGGCTGGTTAATATTTATGAGCGTTCATGAATTTAGAAATTTTGCAAAAAATAACATTTTACTTTTGTTTATAAATACTTGTTGCAAAATAAAATCCTTGCATTTGCCTTGATAAAGTCCCTGAGAGGACGAAATGCGTCGGCTAAGATAAGTTTTTCTTTTTGTCTTTATTCATGCTGTCTTTGTTACAGATTTATTTTAGTTATATCTGAAATTGAACGTATATACATATATGCATACATACATACATATCTACAGAAAGTATTGTATCGATTAGATAAATATATAAATAATAATATCCAGCCGGTGGTGTTTAAAAATCTATTGGTCCTCCTGGCTCGTTAAATTAACAGCAATCGTTAAGTTACCAACTTACCTGTAAAATATACTTTACCTGTAAAACATATATTATTATTTCTGATTAAAAAAAAAATATTAAAGGAATGTATTATAATAAAAATTTATAAAATAATAAAAAAAGATTTTAATGAATTAAATGAATTCTACCATTGAATAAATCCATGAAACACTATTATAAGATAAAATGGTAATACGTGTATAATTTTTACTGTATACCTACTTTTGCAGCCCCCTATATACCTGTGTGAGTCTAATTATTTTTAAAAAAGGAACAAACTGATTAGATAACTATTTGTGGGAAAACGGCTATTTGAATAAAGGGCGCTCAGTGCAAATAAACTAACGAAGCTGTATATCAATTGAAAACATTAAGATTAATGAAAGATGATGAGTTAAGAGAAAGGTGCCTTCCAGAAAGTAAGAAATTAAGACAGTAAAATGTGGTTAGAAACAAAGCAAAGAGGACTGAACAAATATCTGGTATCAAATCACCCATATGAAAGTAAATATTGGTGGTACTTTCTTCGCACACGAAGTAGAGACTCAAAACGATAGAGATGTAAATCTATAATGAAGGGTATATTAGGGCAAGGACATTCTATCTATCTATCTATCTATCTATCTATCTATCTATCTATCTATCCTGAGTTTTTTTATTATCTATTTGTCTATATATGTGCCTGTTTCAGTTTGTTCATATGTACTTATCTCGAACTGCTTCTATCTATCTATCTATCTATCTATCTATCTATCTAGCTAGCTAGCTAGCTAGCTAGCTGGCTATCTAAGTCTGTCCTTATTATCTATCTATCTATCTATCTATCTATCTATCTATCTATCTATCTATCTATCTAGCTGGCTATCTAAGTCTGTCCTTATCTATCTATCTATCTATCTATCTATCTATCTATCTATCTATCTATCTATCTATGCGTTATCCTCCAGAAATACTCTCTTCTACTTTGTATTTTGCGATACAATTCAGTAAGGATTACTAATTATATACAACATTAATGCTACACATGAAACGTTCATGAGAATGACAAGTGAATGATCGAAACAGCTGCGGCTGACTGACAATAAAATCTATGTAGAATTAACTAAATGTTGCTCATCAATCGGAATCAATAATGCTTGTCTAAATATTTTATGACTCTTCTTTGAATATTGGCACTAAGATTCTGTTTTGTTGACATTTCATTTTATTTCTTTGATATTTAATTTGCTTTAAGTTCCTCCTTTTGAGAGCTTTCGTCTTTAAAGTATTGGTAATGTGTACCAACTTTGTTGACCTTTGACTGCAGACAGATTTAGTACGGACGAAATGCTTGTTAATTTTATATTACATCAAGTGGAAAACGGACAGAATATTTAGTTGTATATTACCATCAAAATCCAAATATTTCTCGTGCTTATCTGAGATAGAATGTGGCCAGTGTGATTCATTTGGCCTTGTCTCGGTGTTTTTTATCTAAATGTAATATCAATCGCTATCTACTGTCCAGCTGATTATTATCCTCTCTTCTGCTCCTCATTAATGTTCTTGTACCGATTTAATCCACACTCTATAACCCCTTTTTAGTGGCATTACTTTCTCCCTTGGGAAGATTCCCATTAAAAAAAAAATGGCTTGTCTGGTCGACTCTCCGACGTTGCTAAGTTGTCTTTCCGTTCGGACATCTTCGAACATGGCAAGCAATAACAACACCTGTAAGAAAAACGCAGTACTTCAGATAGAAACAAACCCAAAAAGGTAATTGACGTCTCGAATTGTTATGATACAACAGAAGGGCAACCAGATCTAAATGAGTGAATATATAATCTTTACGGCATGGGCTACGGGTAATCCTCTGCAATGAGGGTATCGGAACTTTTTCCAATCAGTCAAAGAGCTCCAAATACAACTAGAATTATTGGTGTCCCCATGTGTCACATTTCTTTAGATTTCCACTTAAAGGTCCTTATATTTTGATATTTTTTTAAAGAAGATCTTCAAAGATACATTACAATTTTCAGGGACTACCATTTCAATAAGAAAGCACATTCTGTTCTTGTCGTCTTTGATCACGATGTCTGGGTGATTAGATTTAATTGTTCTATCTGTGTACATTGCAAATTCCCATAAAATTGTTAAAGGCCCTGTCTCTCTAACAGAAAGTGGTTGATATTCATACAAGTTTCTTGATGTTTCCTTCCCGTAAAATATGTATATTTTCCAGTCTAGATTTTGGCCCGCTCTATCATGCCGAGTATTATTATTACTATTATTATTATTATTATTATTATTATTATTATTATTATTATTATTAACTGTTAAGAGAAAAGTGCTATTTAAGAAAATATAAAGAAAAGAAAAATGCAGTGTTTGACAAGGTTAAACAATATTTCAACAAAATGTCACTCTTATTCAAGTTATATTTAATTTTTTTCAAGTATCAAAAATATATAACTGCATAAAAAAATTATAAAGCTTTGTCCAAACGTTGCTTGTCTACAATTTATTACTGACTAAATACAGTAATTATGGAACAAGGCCCCAAAAATTGGGGTGATGTGTCAAGGTTTGTCGACACTATCGCGTACCTAGTTAATCAGAATCACGACTCATTCATTCATTTCAATATATTCATTCACCATAAAATTCTATCCGTCACCATTCGGTCCTCCATTCACCAAAATACCACACACACACACACACACACACACACACACACACACACACACACACACACACACACACACACACACACACACACACACACACACACACACAGGCTCTTTTAATGAAGGACAACCCATAACTTAAAATTTCAATATGTACAATTGTGTATAAAAATCCATATATATATATATATAAATCCATATATCTGCTTACATATATATATATATATATATATATATATATATATATATATATATATATATATATATATAATATATAAATTATATCAATGAAATGATGGTGGGGTGCTGACCTGAAACCTGAAAATGAATGAATGATGTTAGTAGGACCTTTCCCGTAATCAAAAATTACCAGTGATCGCTGTATTCTGTCTCCCGCCAAAATCAAAACGTTCTCTCACTAAAGAAGGAGGGAGTAAAAAAAAAAAAAAAAAAAAAACGTTACGTATCTGCTAATGAAAAAACGGCTTTACTAGTAATGAACGCGTCAAACCGAATGAAAGTTCGCTCGCACGAAGATAAGCAAATGAAACTTGCTTAATATGATGGTAATCTTTTTAATCTTGGAATTATTCGTTAGTTGATTAGTTATTAAGAGGAATTAAACAGCTTAATCTTATGGAACTCTCCTGTCATTGTCTCCATTCCTCCGGGACGGGAAGTTAATATTTTGCTTATGTAACCACCCTCATGCATTGGGTCAACAGGTCAGTAGATTCTGAATATTTTTTTCAGAATGTGCACCTTAAGAGATTTGTTGAAATTACAGTCGTTAAATTGAAATACGCCATAATCTAATTCATTTTTCTCAAAAGTTCTAGTACTTGGGTAAAATATTCAATACATGATTATAAGAATGATAAAAAAAGAAAACGGTTGAGAAATTCCTATACAACGCTTAATTTGTCGTGAATATGAATGTTGTACGGTAAAAGTCTCTGAGGGGCGAGAATGTTTTTTGTCTGCTATAGAAAAACAGGTTTCGTCTTATGTCCGGGGCACATTTAATTTTATTTCTAAAATAAATACATTTTCATAGAGAAAAAATGATTTTCCTGATTGCCCTTTTGGTCACCATGGATGTCTCGTCTTTTTATTCTAATATTGATCGCGGTGATGGGATTGACGCATGCAACAAAGATTTTCAGAAATTCTAAAACAAAACCATTCCATCAAACTTTCTCTGTATACTTATACGTTTCGTCTTGGAAAGCAACACGATAAAATTTGGGAAAAAAGTGTTTCCACCAAATCAAAGGATGTACAATGCCCCACCACTTATAGTCTTTAACTTTGCGAATGTCTATATGACAAATTTCAATGAAAAAACTACTTGATGTTTCCAAATAACGACACGGCCATAGGCCACAACGTTGGTTGTGATTTATTGATGATATTTTCTTCATCTGGAAAGGTACGTAGGAAAGTTTGTTAAAATTTCCACAATTTTGTGATACTTTTGCACAAAAGAATAATTTTGGTCAAAAATAAAATTTACATCTAGTTTCTTCAAAGTCAGTGTTGAATTTTTAGACACTAGAGCACAGTTCTCAAGAAATCGTCTAATAACCGAATTATTTTTCAAACATACGTCATCACACATTCTACCTACATCGCTCTTTATCTTGATATTGACCACGATGAAGGGATTGAAGCACGCAACAAAGCTTTTAAGAAACGCAAAGACAATTCTGTCAAACTTTCTCTGTAGACTTATACGTTTCGTCTTGGAAAGCAAGATGAAGTTTGGAAAAAAGGTTTTCGACGAAATCAAAGAATACCAATGGGTAAGCAGAAAACTTTGTTAAAATTGCTCCAATCGTGTGATAGTTTTACAACAAAGAATAATTTTCCATGGCAAACAAAATTTACATCTAATCTCACCAAAGATAGTGTTGAATTTTCAAAGACTAGAACAAAGTTCTCAAGAAATCGTCTAATAAACGAATTGTTTTGCGAACATACGTCATCACACATTCTACCTACACCGCCGTTCCGGCCATCCTTATCAGACGATAAAATCAAACCAAAAGAGCCAATTTTTACGCATAAGGCGAATTTGCATGGAGATAAAATATTGTTGGAAACACGATAATAATTTCATCCGCCATTATGTTAAGCGTGGCTATCAAGAATCTTGACTGAAATGAATTTTGAATGAAATAGCTAAAAATGAAGATTGCCATAATTTTATATCAGAACAAAACCCAGAAAATAAAACACACAATAGAAATTCTGACAGAAATCCATTAGCCATCAATTGGCACCGAAATTTTGCTAGAATTTCGGAAATACTACATGACAGCTATGAGCACATCGCCAAAAAATATCCGCGTTTTAAAGAGATTTTTCCAAAGCCGCCTTTAATTTCTTTCAAAAGAAATAAAAATATCAGACAAATTTTAACAAATGTAAGCGTCCAAAACAACAATGGAGTTTCAGATCGCTGTACACCCGACAACACTCATAGAAGAGGAAAACCTTATGCGTTGTGCAACAAGTTAATTCTATCACAAATTCAAAGAGGACCATGATTTCTATAGAGGTGGTAATTGTACTGATTTAATATACGCATCCCCAATATACCACTAGAAGAAAGCACTCAAGAAATCGTCTAATAACCGAATTATTTTGCAAACATACGTCATTACACATTTACCTACACCGGCCTTCTGATCATCATTATGCGATAAAATCACACCGGAAGTGCTAATTTTTACTTATAACGTGAATTTGCACGGAGATAAAAGATTATTAGAAGCATGATAATAATTTCATTCGACATTATGTTAAGCGCGGTTATCCAGAATCGCGATTGAAACAAATTGCTAATGAAATAGCTAAAAATGAAGATTAACATAATTTTATACCAAGACAAAACACCGAAAAAAACAATAAAAATTCTGACAGAATCCCATTAGTCATCAGCTGGCACCGAAAATTTACTGGAATTTCGAAAATACTACACGACAGCTATGAAGAAATTGCGCAAAAATATCCACGTTTTAAAGAGATTTTTTCCCAACCCGCCTTTCGTTTTTTTGAAAAGAAATAAAAAAACACCATCAGATTTTAACAAATGTACGCGTTCACACTCAAAATATCATTGGAGTTTCGGATCGTTACATTGTCAAAAACTCTCATAGAAGAGGAAAACCCTGTGAGTTGTGCAGCAAAATGAGTCAAGTGAATTCTATCACAAATTCAAGGAGAAACATTACAATTTCTACAGAGGATGATAATTGAACTGGTTCTCATTTAATATACGGCGACAAATGTACC